GGATGTCTGATCAAAGAATCCTCAGATATCACGTAATGCTGATGGAAATTCCAGGCTGTATTATATCCCCTTATGAGGTTCTTAACCCAGCCACCCTCCTGCCTACTGCCAAGAGCTCTCTCCCCTTTCACTCTTGTCTAGAAATCTTGACCTCTGGACAAAACCATGAGAGGGATTGTCAGAAGATCCTCTGACCAATCCTGAGGAAATATGGTACACTAATGGAAGCAGCTTTGTCTCAGATGGAAAAGAAAGAGTGGGCTATGCAGTAGTCTCAAATCTTGAGATCATACAGGTTAAGCCTTTTCCACCAGGTACTTCAACCCAACTAGCTGAGCTCATAGCCCAAACTCGAGCTTTAGAGCTGGGAAAAAGAAAAAGAATAGCCATTTACACTGACTGCAATTATGTCTTTCTGGTACTACATGCACATGCTGCTATTTGGAAAGAAAGGGGTCACTTGACCATTCGATGGTCCCCAATCAAATATGGCGATCAAATTCTTAGACTCTTCAAGGCAGTCCATCTGCCCACTGAGACGTCAATCTCCCACTGTAAAGGACACCAAAAAGGGAGCACAGAAGTGGAATGAGGGATCAGGCAGCTAAGAGAGCACCATTACAGAACAATGACAATATAGGGGTTGCCACCCTAGCCCCACAGGGTTATTTGCCAAAAACTCCTTCATATACTGAAGGTGAGGCTCTTAAAGCTAAGAGTGAGGGCTTTCAAGAGGATCATATGGGTTTTTCAAAAGGAGGGACACCTTTTTCTGCCTGGAAACCTCCAATGGAAGTTGGTTAACTCCTTACATGATACCACTCATTTAGGGGGAAAGGTCCTCCAAAGATTACTAGAAAGGTTCTTCAGAGGAACAGGCCTCCATACAACTATAATGCAAGTGTTCTCCTCTTGTCCCACTCACCAATTAAGCAATCCCCAAGGAGCTTGAAGACCCCAGCTGGCCCAACCTGTCCAACGATGTGGGGCCTACCCAGGAAATGACTGGCAGATGGAATGCAACCAGATGCCAGTTTATCAAGGGTATAAATACCTATTAGTTATGATAGATACATTCACAGGATGGATTGAAGTCTTTCCCACCCAGACTGAGAAGGCTGAGGAGGTGGTAAAAAACAAACAAACAAACAAACAAAAAAACTGCTCCATGAAATCATTTCAAGATTTGATCTGTCCAGGTCATTACAAAGTGACAATAGAACATCATTTACTTCTAAGGTCACCCAAGGGGTCTCTAAAACATCGGGCATTACTTATTATCTCCATTGTGCCTGGAGGCCTTGGTCTAACATCAGTGATAAAAAAGATACCCCAGGATACCTCCTTGGGATGGAAGGAGGCTTTATCAAAGGTTCTCCTCCACACCCACATTGCCCCTAAGGAACACATTGGTTTTAGTCCTATGAGATGCTGTATGGAAGACCTTTTGTTTATGTCATGACCTCTCCCTAGATCCAGAGATTCAGAACCTCCAGTCTTACACCATGACCATTGGGCAATTCCAACAGGATATACGCTTCTGGGGTATGAGCCAGGACCCAAAAGATTGTAAGGGGTCACCACTATATGCCCCAGGGGCTCAAGTTCTAATTAAAGTCTGGAAAGATGGGTCCCCAAAGGCTTAACTCTAGCCCGCATGGAAGGGCCCCTATCCTGTAATACTTTCTACCCCCACAGCAGTCAAGGTACCAGAACATGACTCCTGGATCCACTACTCACAAATCAAGTCATGGAAGAAAACAGACGAGGACACTCAATACACCTGTAAGCCCCTGGGAGATCTCAAATACCTATTCAGGACTACAAATGAGTGCCATTCTAATGAACATCCCACAAATCTGGTTTCTGGGTGTAAGATTTCTCAGGATAGCACTAAAGATCCAACACAACTTGATAGAGATTGTACTCCAAAACAGCCAAGATATATGTACTTTTATCCCTGAACAGGGAGGGACTTGATCCATCCTGGCGATGTGAATTTGAAATTGGAATGCCCCTGTGGGCTTCCCTGGCGGCTTAGAGGTTAAAGTTTCTGCCTGCAATGTGGGAGACCGGGGTTTAACCCCTGGGTTGGGAAGATCCCCTGGAGAAGGAAATGGCAACCCTCTCCATTATTTTTGCCTGGATAATCCCATGGATGGAGGAGCTTGGTAGGCTACAGTCCCTGGGATCACAAAGAGTTGGACACGACTTAGTGACTTTGTTTGCTTTCTTTTTAATACCCCATAGTACTTATTATGCCATATTGATCCTGCTTATGATTGCTCCATGTGATATCAACTATCTCTGCCCAAGTCAACAAGCTACAGTGTGCAGTGCCAGTCCAACAAAGATATAAAACTACAACCAACCACAGAAAATATCATTCACCTTTAGATGGACCATGCTATAGGGACTCAGGTCTGAAACTAGCAAGAGGGGGAGGCCCAATACCCCTCCACCATCCCAGTTCATTAGGAAATAATCAGAAAGACCTTGAGGCCCCTATTCCCAAAGAATTGGGCCTCCCAGGGGAGGGGCGCTGGGGATGTTAGGTAGTTAGAATAGGAAACATGAGTCCAGAATGATGGTGGCTAAAAGACAAGGAAGGGAAAAGCCCACAAAAATAGAACAAAGGAAGGTCAAAGGAAGATCCAAGGACCGGACTGAGGACCCCAGGTAGAACAAACAGCACTCCTGGCTAGCCAAATTTACATATAGCAGACCCAGGTGGAGGGAAAAAATAAATAAAAAGAGGAGTCAAAGGGCTCTCTGTCTCTGCTGCCCACTGGAGCGTTCCCCCACTCTTTCTCTTCACGTCTTTGGGTCAGCGTGCCCTCATGCCTCAATGATGGATTTTCCTGCTATTTTCTAAATAAAATAGAGCTGTAATACTGGTTTGTCTAAGAGCTATAACACAGTCTGTCCAAGACCCGATAGCTGTGAAAAACTGAGGGCTTTAATGTCTGTCACTCCAAATCTTTGTTGTGATGAGACAGAACCGAGGAGAATACACTCGCCTGGCAATGCCAAGTATGTAGAGACACAGATTCCCTCAGCCACAATAGTTATGGCCCTATCAGTATTTTCTAGCCTCTGGCATCTGTTGATCAGAATGCTTGTTTTCTGGTCCTTCTCCATTGGTCCTCTCTTTGAGGCAATAAGAGAGCTCCTCTGCCTGGGTTCCTTCTCTGTTGCTCAGCCCATTTGGGCACTTAAAGGGCTTCCATCACTGGGGTTCTTCTTTATTGTTCAGCTGTCAGTGTTGGCATATGCAGAGAGAGAGACAATGGTGAAGGCGCCACCCCCAAGCATGACTCATCAGCATTGCCATGTCTCCATGGCTGCCTGGTTTACCTCCGCATCATTTCCCACCACAGTCTCCTCCCTCACATTACCTCAGGATGTTATCTTACAGTCAACAGCAGACCTTACTTTGGGATTACTCTTCAGTTTCCAGCCACTGTGCTTCCTAGGGAATTTGAGTCCCTGTCTGGGATATGTATGGCTGTGGCAAGGATTCTTTGTGGTTCTGACTCCATTCAGACTGTGACTAATCAGCTGCTTCACTGCCCCACATTGTGAAAATATTCCCCTCTGTCTCAAACATTGGCCCTGATGTGGGTATAAGCCCTAATTCAGTTCCCCCCACTCCCTGGGTCCAGTCCTGTTCATTCTTCTCTTCCCCCCAACACCTTCTTTCATCCTACTGAGTTTTGTGTGGGTTTATATACTCTGTCCCAATGGTCAAGGACTTCTGCGCTCTCTCAGCTGGTGTTCTGTGAGATCTAATGTGTTTCAGGTAGTATTCCTGATATATCTATGAAGAAAGATATATTCCATGTCTTTCTTCTTCCCTCTGATCTTTTTTCTGTAAATTAGTGATTTTTTAAATGCTTTCAATCTTGTAAACTTGAATTCATAAAAGTAGCGATTTTCATGTAGTAGAGAAAGAAATACAATGGGGAATCTTGGATATACTAGAAAAGTCTACTTATTGAGATTCTTACAAAGCTAACTCAGCTGAAAGTTATGATTTTTCCTTTCTTTGGAATAGAGTTGGCATATTTCCATCATCTTGAAGATGTAAACAAGGGCTTAAAGTTTAGTTGATAGAATGAGCTCAGATTTCCAATAAAATCATGAAACTGAATTAGCTGCTTTCTTATGACTATATTACACAAAATGTAAATATAAATTTTATAATTGATTTTATATTTTCTATTCTGTCCAGCAGAATCTAACCATAACTAATAATAATCCTCCAGTAAACTGAAAATTCAATTAGGATAAAAGTGTCTTTCCTTGCATTTACATGTTTAGTATATAATGCTATCTTTTGTATATTGACATGCAAATTATTTTAGAGTATAATAAATCACTATTTCTTTAACTTCTTTCTATCTAAATCATATAGGTTGATCTAATTATTTTAATTAGTAAGCAGTATATAGTAGATTAATAAAACTATATGATAATTTCAAATGGGTTTCCCTAGTGGCTCAGACAGCAAAAAATCTTCCAGCATTGCAGGAGACCCAGGTTAAATCCATAAGCTGAAAAACATCCCCTGGAGAAATGAATAGCCAGCTACTCATGTATTCTTGCTTGGAGAATCCTTATGAACAGAGGAGCTTGGTGGGCTACAGTCCATGTGGTTGCAAAGAGTCAGACATGACTGAGTGACTAACACTAATTTAACTACTAATGCCAAATAGATCATAATGTTTTGCAAGGTGTGGAACTGGGATATTGATTGTAACAGTCCAAAAATGAAAGTTAATATTGAAGTAGATAAAACTTGTAATTTTTAGATATGTAACTTGGTTAGGTAATTTATATATAACATTTCTAGTTGGTTAGTCATGATAGAATGGATGTATCTATGTAACAAGTGCTTATTATGATATCAGACATTCTGTACTCTATAATCTTACTCTCAGCCTTGAGAGCTAGTCTACTAGAATCCTATTCTTGTGTTCACATCTATGTGAACAAATATGAAAGGTCCAGTTTGCCTCTTTCAGTTTTGGGGGTTGTTTTTTCACTGCTATGGTGGTAAGTTATAGATACATAGAATATCTCACCTCATTTGTCTTAGTACTGTGTAAGATATTTTGTTTTTCCTTGAATTCCCTTGAAATATCTGTTTTTCTCCTTGTTACTTTTATCTCATTTACTGTTTCTTACTCAAGCTTCTCTTTAGCTTAATTGTACATTTCCCCCACTTTTATCTCTTCTCATTGTTTTCTGTATTCTCTCCTTTTCCATCTTCATCAAACAAAATTGTAGGATGAGAAGTCTCATTAATCATTTAACAAGATATTTTTTATATTATGTTTACTTCTTCCCTTCCCTATCTGACCCTTTTAGTACCCAATTCTCAAAAGCAGTGGTTAAAGTCATTGACCCCAACGATTGCCCCATTGTCAGCATCCAACAATATCTCATGGCTAGTGTCCATGGCTGAGTCCTGCCAGGGCATTATTCTGAGTCAGTGGTGGATCCTCTCCACAGCCAGCTGTCTGAGTAAACTGTAAGTATATTTAAATGCATAAGAAAATGATCATAGTTATGTTTAGTTTGCATATTGACTTCACTTATAGTTAGCTGTACTTGTTTTGGATCTTGTGCATTAAAAGAACTTTCGTCTTCTTTGAAAAAATATATTAAAAATGAAACTTAAAGCTCTAAAACTCAAATACTATTCAATGTGTAAGGCAGAAATTCAGTTCACAGTGATATAAAGTAGACATTTATTGAATTGTAAGTAAAAGATCTTGTATTGACAGACATCTTGGCTTAAACAGAAGTTTAATAAAATATTTTTCCTTACTCTGATTTTATTATGTTGTTTATTTTCCTCTTCCCTTAGGAAACAGTTAAACTCTGACATTTCAGGAATCTTTGACCAAGAAGATGTCTTACAAGGCCACAAAGTATGCCTACTCCCTAGTTTTGATCCAGAAACTGGAAAAGATCCAGTCAAAACAGATGTAGGGGTAGTACTCCTTCAATATCCTATCAGGAAGAAAGAAATACCACTTTCTCACACTTATAACATCTTCTGGAAGACCTGTTATAACTGCCAATACAGAGACTGCAGGGTGTACCAATATCAGAGTAAGCCATAAATGTTATGTTGTGCTGTACCATAAATGTAGTTCAGAAATTGATATTTTAAAAAGAAAATAAATGAGAAAACAAATGGAAAGGTTAAAAAGCTCTTAATAATTAAATACACATTATTGCACTGTATGGAGTGGGGGGCTGGGCGGGAAATGGAGTTCTTAAGGAAGTGAAGTAACAAAATCCATGGGATATGATTATCTTGCATTTTATTTAGGAAGAATTTGGTAGCAGTTAAAAAATCCAAGCATGTATAAGTTTATAAAAATACATGGAAGAAAAGAAATCAGAGTATTTCTGGAATTGTGTGTAATTAAAAATTGAAATATGTATCTAAAAATACTAGGAAGCTATTCTATAAAGTGTTTAACAGACATAATAGCCTCTACTCACAATCCTTCCCATATCTGTTCCTTTAGATCATGGTAACTTTGAAAGCAATATCAAGAAATTGTCAGTTAAGCTGCTGGACCTCTCATTTTGCCACCATCAACACATTCACCTGACTAAAAGTAACAATTTATGCATCTGGAGTCAGCCAGAAGAAGACTGCTGGGTACTTTCTGTATAAAGGCAATTACTTTGGGGGGGTGATATTTAATGTATTAAAATTCTATAAAATAGATATAAAACTTCTTTTATGAAAGATAAGTAAATTCTGCAGATCTGCTGTATAATATACTATATATGGACAAACAAATATACAGTATAAATTTTAATGGGGTAGATATAATGTTAAGTAATAAAAAAGAAGAGTAAAAGGTTTCTTATTTCCACTGCAATCAGTTCAGTTCAGCCACTCAGTCGTGTCCAACTCTTTGCAACTCCACGCACTGCAGCACGCCAGGCCTCCCTGCCCATCTCCAACTCCCAAAGCTTACTCAAACTCATGGCTATAGACTTGGTGACACCTTCAAACCATCTCGTCCTCTGTTGTCCTCTTCTCCTCCTGCCTTCAATCTTTCCCAGGATTAGGGTCTTTTCCAATGAGTCAGTTCTCTGCATCCTGTAGCCAAAGTATTGGAGTTTCAGCTTCAGCATGTGTCTTTGCGATGTATTTTGGGGGGATAATTTCCTTTAGGATTGACTGCTGGGATCTCCTTGCAGTGCAAGGGACTCTCAAGAGTCTTCTCCAACACCACAGCTTAAAAGCATCAATTCTTCAGCACTTGTGGTCCAACTCTCACATCCATACATGACTACAGGAATAACCATAGCTTTGACTAGAATACTTTGTCAGCAAAGTAATGTCTCTGCCTTTAATATGGTGTCTAGGTTGGTCATAGCTTTCCTTCCAAGGATCAAATGTCTTTTAATCTCATGGCTTCAGTCACCATCTGCAGGTATTTGGAGCACCGCCAAATAAAATCTTCACTGTTTACATGGGGCTTCCCTAACAGCTCAGTTGGTAAGCAATATGCCTGCAATACAGGGGACACTGGTTCAATTCCTGTGTTGGGAAGATCCACTGGAGAAGGGTTAAGCTACCCACTCCAGTATTCTTGAGCTTCACTTGAGGCTCAGCTGGCAAAGAATCCACCTGCAATGTGGGAGACCTGGATTTGGTTCCTGGGTTGGGAAAATCCCCTGGAGAAGTAAAAGGCCACCCAATAATGTCTAAAGTAATGTCTCTGCTTTTAAATATGCTGTCTAGGTGGTCATAGCTTGTCTTCCAAGAAGCAAGGATCTTTTAAATTCATGGCTACAGTCAACACATGTAGTGCTTTTGGACTCCTCCCCAAATAAAGCCTGTCAGTTTTTTCTATTGTTTCCGCATCTATTTGCAAAGAAGTGATGGGACTGGATGTCATGATCTTAGCTTTCTGAATGTTGAGTTTTAAGCCAACTTTATCACTCTCCTCTTTCATGTTCATCAAGAAGCTCTTTAGTTCTTTGCTTTCTGCCATAATGGTTATGTCATCTGCATATCTGAGGTTATTGATACTTCTCCTGGCAATCTTGATTCAGCCTGTGCTTCACCTATCCACTGCATTACATAGATGTAATGTTTATGAGAATCATATAATCATACATGTATATGGAAACATGAATCATGTTCATGTAACAAATGAAGAGACTTTTATCCTTAAGATGACAAAGAGGGTGGAATATTTTCATGGATAAACTTGAATAATACAGAACTTACTAGAAATAATCTTTGAAACTATGGGAAGAATGGGAGACTATGACTCTCAGATTGTAGAAAAATGAACAAAAGGGGAAAATACTGTTGAAATCACGGACCAATAACATAAAGCCTTTGGATTTTACATTGAGTTCATTTTGCTTGTTGGGATGAAAAGAAATGCTGGGATAAAGATGGGTAAGAAGAAAACAGAAATGATAGCTAGAACCAGACTAATATAAGTAGAGGTAATCTGCCTAGACATACTCAGCTAAGGGTATAACAAATGACAGTGTAACAAAAAAGTTGAATACATAGCTTGTATTTTTAAGAATTTGGAAGTTTGCTCTAAATTTTCCCCTACTATGTGACTTTTCTCTTTAAGAATAGTTATATGTACCTATGTCATTTCAAAGAACTCTTTGAAGTAGGCACCATATATCATTTGTTGTTTATCATGTTATGTTGGAATTTATATGTTGTAAAAAAACATTTAAATTTTATATATATATATATGTGTGTGTGTGTGTGTGTGTGTGTTAATGCATTTCTTAATTATGTTAAGCATGTATAATATATAATTATATTTTATAATTATAATTTTATACTTTTATAATTATTTTCTATATTATGTATTTATATCTATTATATATATGTACTGTATATATCTGCCATATATATATATATATATATATATATATATATATGGGTTATCTTTGTTTCCTTATTCAGGTACAGCAGGGTAGTCCTGTTTTCTGTCTCTTTGGCAACCACTGGGAACTGGTAGGCCTGGTCAGTGAGTCCTCAATGGCCTGTTATAACCCAATTCTTGTAATCAAGACAGCCCCCTACATACCTTGGATGAGACAGCTTATCAAGGCATCCCAGAAGTCACTGGATCCTATTTTTTCTCTACCCTGCAGTTTTTCTTCTAGGGTAGAACATGATAATCAATATAGGCTTATCCCAAAAAGTGCTTCTGCATTTCTGTCCTCCCATGGATTCTCTATACAGTTATGGAGGGGAACATTTGGCACTTTCCCACTGAACAGACAGCGCCGGAATCCTCCTCCAGTATTTTTTGGTCCAAATAACAGAGATTCTTTTCCTGGAAGTTCACAGTTATACCTTCAAAGCAGTCAGATCTCCTCAACTAGCAACTCCTTAATGGTAAAATCTTGGACCTCTCCTCTTGTTAAATCATGGGATCCTTTTCATACAGCTGTGTCCTGGAATACTGCAGTAACTGATATTTCTGATCCTTCAGTTCTTTATCAACCTCAAAGCACTCCAACACCAGATATAACTACACCCTGGAACCTTTCTCAGAGAGATGTAGTGAAATATAAATATAGAGATATGACAGATTCATTAAGATACTGGGTTGAATATTTAGGTGGTATAATTGGGCTTTATACTCCACCATTAAATAATGCTGATGGATCACATGTTCTGTTTTCAAGTGATGTAGAAGGATCCCAATTTCATTCTGAGATAAATAATGCTCAGTCTCAAGTTCAATATGGTAAGGTTCCTTTCCAAGGTCAATTTCTAGGGAGACCCTGGCTGCGTATTGCATCTGGTGTTAGACCTTGGACATATAATATGCCTGATAAAACAGAAATAGTGATACAGATTCAACCTGCTGAGGGGAGTTTTATAACTCAAATACATCATGTTGCTGATAGAGTCAATACTGCTATTCAATCTGTAACTTATAACATGAATCCATGGATACCTTTGATTATTAATAAGATTGGATTCTGGACTCATTCCATACTAAATGAAGAGGGATCTCAATATCCTACAGCAACTCCTACCTCAGAACCCTGGTTTCAGCCTGTCCTAAATATAGTTAAATCCCAAGGACCTATAGAAAAGACATATGAACAAATGATTTTCCCTGAACCTAAGCCAACTCAATTTTGGACTTCCTCAACTCTTAATATGCTCCTTAATTGGGTTTCATCTGCAAGTAATACTAATAGGCCTGTGGCCCAGTATAAGGCCAGTGCAATCACATCCTTAAGTCAAATGGATAGAATGAATCCAGTGAGTAAGCACAGTGATTTTACAGTCAAAACCCAGATGCAGACGGAAGATACAACATGGCTTTTGATTCATACAGTTGCTAGTATAATTGATCCTTTAACCCACACTGAAGTTGATACAACTGCACCACGGACTCAACCTGAAGTTGACATAGTCCGAACTTGGACCCGGTCAAAAACTCAATCAGGAAGACCTTTGACTGTGCTGAAAGCTGATACCACCAAACTGTGGTTACAGACTAAGGGAAGAAGACACTGGATTCAGCCTAAATTCCAAATTCTCAGACCTAGAACTCAGACTGAAGAAGGTAAATATAAACCTTGGATCCAGTCAGAAGCAGATGCCATCAGATCCTTGACCCACTCAGAAATGGAAACACTCAGACCCTGGGACCAACCTGAAACTGGTACTGCCAGATCTTTGTTCTTGACAAAATCTGACCAAATAATACTGAACACTCAGGAAGCCTTTAAAACACCCCACATATGGACTCAGCCTGAAGTTGACACAGTCAGAACACAGATTCAGTCTGAAGCTGGTAAAATGCATCAATGGACAAAGCCAGAAAAATCTCCTTTAATACTCACAACAGAGTCTAAAGTTAATACAATTACATCATGGACAAGGCCTGAAGTTGATGCTATGGTGTTTTGGTTGCAAACACAAACTGATATAATCAGGACCTGGACCCAAACTGAAACTCAAATAATAATTTCTTGGTTTGAACCAGAAGCTATTACAGTAAGACCTCTGTTGAATACTCAAACTGATACATTTAAACCTTGGATTGAGACAGAAATAGAAACACCCCATTACTGGGCCCAATCTGAAGGTAATATAGACAGATCATGGACTCAGACTGAAGCTGAAAATGTCAAACCCTGGTTCTGGACTCAAATGGAAACAGTCACTTTTTGGACAGAGCCAGTAATCAAAACATCCTACCACTGGATGCAGTCCAAAAAGGAAATACTCAAGCCCTGGGACCAATTTTATGAGGTAGAAACCTGGACACAACATGACACTAAAACACTCAAGTCCTGGAATGAGGTTGAAAGTGATAAAGATAGATTTTGGACTCAATCAGAAGTTGACACAGTGAGACCCTGGATTCAGTCAGATATTGCTGTCAACAACCATGGAGCAGAAAATGAAGCTGGTACATTAATGCTTTGGCCTCAGGCTGAATATCCAGAAGTAAATCTCTGGACACAATCTGAAACTGACACAGGCTCATTATCAACCCAGAGTAAAATTCCAGCAGTAAATCACTGGACAGAAATAGCTGATACCATCATACCACAAGCAAAAGCTAAATTTCCAGGAGTAAAGCCCTTGACACATCTGGCATCTAATACAGTAACACCATGGACTCAGGCTGAATCTACAGTAGTAAATCTCTGGACTCAGACTATAACTGATGCAGTCACACAGTGGACTCCGGGTGAGTTTTCAGAGACAAATCCCTGGACAAAAACTACAATTGATAGAGTCAAGTCATGGACCCAGGATGAATCTCTACTGGCAAATCCCTGGATGCAATTCAACACTAATACAGTTATACCATGGACACAGACTGACTCCTTCATAGTAAATTCTTGGTTACAGTCTATACCTCATACCATTATACAATGGACCCACAGTGAACCTTTAGATATAGGAAAAAAGCTGGAAAAAAGCTTGAAAAAAGCTGTCACTGATGCAACACCTTGGTCTCAGGCAGAGTCATCAGCAGTAAATCCCTGGAGAGAAATTGCAGCTGGGACAGCTACACAATGGTCCCAAGGAGAATCTCCAGTAGTAAATTTATGGGCTCATCCTGTGGTTAATGTAGTTACACTGTACACTCAGGCTGATTCCCCATTGTTACATTTCTGGACAAAGTCTGTAATGAATATAGTCACAACATGGACACCAACAGAATCTTCAGCCATAAATTCCTGGAGACAGTCTGAAACTGACAGTATCTCAACATGGACCAATAAAATAAATCCAGGAATAAACAGTTGGTTATATTATGAAACTGATACAGTGACAGTTTGGACCCAGCCAGAAAGTCCAGGAATAAATACTTGGACACCAGCTATTGCTTCTGCAGCTCCACCATGGACTCAGGCTGATTTTTTAGCTGTAAATCCCTGGACAGAGGTCGAAAGTGATACAATCACACAATGGACTCAGGTTGAACCTTTAATGAATCCTCGGACAGAGAGTGTAGCTTCCACAGTCATACAATGGACCAAAGCTGAATCTCTAGCAGTAAATCCATGGATACAATTTGCAGCTGATGTAGATACACTATGGACCCAGACTGATTCTCTAGCAGTAAATTCCTGGGTATATCCTTCATCTGATCATGTTTTACAGTGGATTCAAACTGAACTTCCAACAGAATATCAATGGATTCAGAATATGTCTGATATAGTAACATCAATTACTCAGGCTGAATTTCCTTCAGTAGAGACTTGGACAGATCCTCTGGCAGATATAGTAACAAGGTGGAATCAGACTGAATCTCCAATAATAAATCCATGGTCAGAAGCTGTAGTTTCTACAATGACACCATGGACTCAAGTTGAATATCCAGAACTAAATGCCTGGATAAATTCTATAGCTTCCACAGTCACACAGATGACTCACCCTAAATACCCAGTAATGAAGCCTCAGAGACAGCCCATATCTGGTACAGCCACACCATTGAACCAAACAGAATCACCTATAGTAAATCCCAGGACACAACATGAAACTGAAGTAATCACACGGAGGAATCAGACTGAATCTGAAAGAATTAATCCTTGGATACAAGTTGTAACTGACACAATCATACGCTGGACTCAGGCTGAATCTCCAGCAGTCAATTCCTGGACAGAGGCTGTTGCAGATACAGTAATACTATTGAATCAGACTGAATATCCTTCAGTAAATCCCTGGGCAACACTTGCAACTGATACTTTTACACTTTGTACCCAGGCAAATTCTTCCATCATCAATTTTTTGACACAGTTCATAGTTCATACACTCACACCCTCCACCCAGACTATGCCTGTAACAGTAAATCCCTTGTCACAGTTTGAAACAGATAGAGTCACACAATGGATCCAAGCTCAATTTGCTTCAGTAAACCCCTGGACTCCATCTGAAATCAACCCAATTATATCATGGACCCATGCTAGATATTCAACCTTAAACCCCTGGACACAATTTGAAGCTGACATATTCACATCATGGACCCAGGCTGAGTCTCCAGCAATAAATATAGCTTTATATAGGTCAGTGAAGCCATGGATCCAGGCTGAAACTCCTGCAACAGGTCCCTTAATAACAGCCAGAGCTGGTGAAATCACACCATGGATCAAGGCTATATATCCTGCAGTTAACCCCTGGACAAAATCTAAATATGACATAGTCCCACTGTTGATCCAGAATATAACTCCAGCAGTAATTCCCTCAACAGTCTCTGTAATTGATACAATCACCCTGTGGGACATGGCTAAAATTATATTACCAAGGCCTTGGCCACAGCCTGTGACAGAAACAGTCACACACTGGATCCAAAGTGAGTTTTCCTTGGTATATAACATCACACGACCTATAACTGATGTAACCACATTGTTTACTCAGGTTTTTACTCCAGAAGTAAACCCCTGGTCAAGGCCTAAAGCCGATACTGTCAAACCATGGATTGAGGCTAAATCTCCAAAGGAAAAGGCCTGGAAAGTGGCAGGTTCTGAAACACTCACACCATTGACCACAGGATTCTCTACAGCAGTTAAAGTCTGGATAGACACTGTGTCTGATATATTCACACCAGGAACCAAGTACAGTTTTTCAAAATTAAACCTTGGAATAATGCCCGAGGATGGTATCATTGAACCATGGACTCAGTCTGAATCTCTATCAGGAATTCCCTGGACACAACCTGCAGCTGATTCAGATATAAAGCAGATACAGACTAAATATCCATTAGTAAATCTGTGGACTCAGGCTCAGTTCCCAGCAGTAAATCCCTGTACACAATCCCAGTTACTACTGATAAATATTTTTACAAAATCCAAAACTCTAGACATAAATCTATCAATACAACCTGAGACTACTACAGTCACATTATGGAGTCAGGTTGACTCTCCACCAGTAAATCACTGGATAAAACCTGTATCTTCCACAGTCATACCATGGACAGAGGCTGAATATTCAGCAGTACATCCATTGATGTGGACAGCAGCGAATGCAGTCACATTGTGGACCCAAAGTGAATCTCCAGCATTGTATTCCTGGACAAAGTCTACAGTAGATACAGTCACAAAGTGGGCTATGGGTGCATCTCCAGTGTCAAATTACCAGATACAACGATTAGCTTACACAATCCCATTTGGGGTCAAATATGGAACATCAAGGATAAATCATTGGATGCATTCTAATTTTGAGCCATTTCCATCAACACAAGTAGAATCTTCAGCAAATAAACATGGGATATATATAGAAAATTATAGAGTTATAACAATGCCCCAAATTGAACCAAGTAAAGTGAATCTCAGGCCAGAGTCTATACATATAGGAAGAAAATGGACTAAATCTCAGTTTTCCATAATTTGTTTGACAGGGACTGTGTCTTTCACAACCCGATCATGGACAAAGGCTGAAAGTTCAACTGCAAATACATGGAGAGAGACTGAGTCTTTAACATCACCAACATTGACTCAAGCTATAAAGCCAGCTTTAAAATCCTTTAAAGAGACTGTCCTTTTTATAGGCCCAACATGGACACAGGCTGAAAATACAGATGTAAATACCTCAAGAGAAGCTGTTTCTTTTACAGCCCCACTGTGGACACAGGCTGAAAGTCCAGATGTAAATATCTGGAGAGAGACTCTGTCTTTCACAGATCCCCCATGGACTCAAGTTAAAGGTCCAGCTATAAACAACTGGAGAGAGATGTTGACTTTCACAGCCCCACTGTGGACACAGGATGAGGATCCAGCTGTAAATACCTGGAGGGTGACTGTGCTTTTAACAGGCCCACCTTGGACTCAGGCTGAAAGTACAGCTGTAAATGCTTTAAGAGAGACTGTGTCTTTCATAGTCCCACCGTGGATACAGGCTGAAGGTCCAACTTTAAATAACTGGAGGGAGACTGTGACTTTCACAGGTCCACCTTGGACTCAGGCTGAAAGTACAGATGTAAATACTTCAAGAGAAGCTGTGCTTTTCATAGGCCCACCTTGGACTCAGGCTGAAAGTACAGCTGTAAATGCTTTAAGAGAGACTGTGTCTTTCATAGTCCCACAGTGGATACAGGCTGAAGGTCCAACTTTAAATAACCAGAGGGAGACTGTGTCTTTCACAGGTCCACCTTGGACTCAGGCTCGAAGCACCTCAGTAAATACCTGGAGAGAGACTGTGCCTTTCACAACCCCACCATGGACTCAGGCTGGAAGTACAGCTATGCATATTTGGCAAGAGACTGTGCCTTTCACAGCCCCACCATGGACTTCAGACAGAAGTTCATCTATAAACAACTGGAGAGAGATGTTGCCTTTCACAGTCCCACTGTGGACACAGGCTGAGGGTCCAGCTGTAAATACCTGGAGTGAGACTGTGCCTTTTACAGTCCCAACATGGACTCTGGCCGAAAGGCCAGCTGTAAATTCCTGGAGAGAGAGTGTGCCTTTTACAGTCCCACCATGGACTCAGGATGAAAGTCCAGGTGTAATTACCTGGGGAGAGACTGTCCCATTCAATGCCCCACCAAGGACACAGGTTGAAAGCCCAGATGTAAACACCTGGAGAGAGACTGTGCTTTTCATAACCCCTTCATGGACTTGGACAGAACGTCCAGCTGTAAATTCCAGGAGAGAGACTGTGCCTTCTACAGTCCTATTTTGGACTCAGGATGAAAGTCCAGATGTAAACACCTGGAGAGAGACTGCCCCTTTCACAGTCCCAACATGGACTCTGGCTGAAAGACCAGTTGTAAAATCCTGGAGAGAGAATGTACCTTTCACAACCCCACCATGGACACAGAGTAAAGGTCCAAATGTAAATACCTGGAGAGAAACTCTGCCTTTCACAGGTCCACCCTGGACTCATGCTGAAAGTGCAGCTATAAATAGTTGGAGAGAGACTGTGCCTTTCCCAGTCCCACTATGGACTCTAGATAAAGGTCCAGCTGTAAATAACTGGAAAGATATGTTGACTGCCACAGCGCCACCATGTAAACAGTCTGAAGGTCCAGTTGTAAATTCCTGGAGAGAAACTGTGCCTTTTACAGTCCCACCATGGACTCAGGATGAAAGTCCAGGTGCAATTACCTGGGGAGAGACTGTAACACTCAGAGCCCCACCAAGAACAGACATTGAAAGTCCAGATGTAAACACCTGGAGAGAGACTGTGCCTTTCCCAGCCCTACCATGGACACAGGCTGAAGGTCCAGCTGTAAATTCCTGGAGAAAGATTATGCCTTTTATAGTCCCACTGTGCACACAGGATGAAAGTCCAGGTTTAATTACCTGGGGAGAGACTGTCCCTTTGAGAGCCCCACCAAGGACACAGGCAGAAGGTCCAGATGTAAATACACAGAGAGATACTGTGCCTATTACAGGTCATCCTTGGGCTCAGGCTGAAAGTGCAGCTGTGCATACTGGGAGAGATACTGTGCCTTTCACAACCCCACCATGGACTCAAGATAAAGACCCAGATGTAAATAGCTTCAGTGAGATGTTGAGATTCACAGCACCATCATGGGCACAGGCTAAAGGCCCAGCTTTAAATAATTGGAGGGAGATTTTAACTTTAATAAGCTTACCTTGGACTCAGGATGAAAATCCAGCTGTAAATACATGGAGAGAGACTGTGCCATTCATAGAGCCACCATGGACTCAAGCTGAACGTTCTGCTGTAAATAGCTGGGGAGAGACTGTGCCTTTCTCAGCTCAACTATGTATTCAGTCTGAAAGTCTAGCTGTAAAGACCTGGAGAGAGATGTTTCCTTTCACAGCCCCACCATGGACTCAGGATGAAAGTCCAGCTGTAAACACCTGGAGAGAGATGTTCCCTTTCACAGCTGCACCATGGACTCAGGATGAAAGTCCAGCCATAAATACCTGGAGAGAAACTGCGCCTTTCTCAGATTTACCATGGACTCAGGCTGAAAGGCCAGCTGTAAACACCTGGAGAGATACTGTGCCTTTCACATCCCCACCATGGACTCGGGCAGAAAGTCCAGCTGTAAACACCTGGAGAGAAACTGTGCCTTTCTCAACTCTATCATGGACTCAGGCTGAAAGTCCACCTCTAAACACCTGGAGAGAAACTGTGCTTTTCTTAGCTCTACCATGGACTCAGGCTGAAAGTCCAGTTGTAAATGCATGGACATGGAATGCCCCTTTTACAGCTCCATCATGGTCACACACTGAAAATACAGCTGTAAATACCTGGACAGAGGCTAGGCTTTTCACAGCCCCTCCATGGATTCAGGCTGAAAATCCAGCTACAAATACCTGGAAAGTGAATGTGCATTACAAAGGCCCACCATGGACTCAGTCTGACTCTGCACCAGCAAACCCTTGGACATCAACTGAAAGTTTCACAATCGCATCATGGACTCATGGTGTAAAGCAAGTTTTAAATATTTGGACAGAGCCAATAGTTTCCACAGTCACACTACGGATTCAGGCTGAATATTCAACACCAACATATTGGACAGAGACAAAGGTCATTTACATAGTCACACCATTGACCCAGTGTCAGTTTCCAATAAATACTTTGACAGAACCTATAGGAGGCAAAATTACAACTTGGACATCTGCTGAATCTCTAGCATTAAGTTCTTTCACACAAAATATTATTGATACAATCAAATTTTGGCCAGTGCTTAAAACTGAATCTAAGAAAAGGTGGAATCTGCCTCAAAGTGGTGCACTCATGTTTTCACTAAATCCTCAAATTGATACTTTTGGATCCTTGAACCAAATTGAAAACCAAGACTCTCCTCTGTGGACACATCCTGAAATTGATAATGTCAATACAATGACCTTTCTTGAACCTGGAACACTCATATCACAGGTAGTACCTTTGTCCCAAGCAGCTAGACTCTGGCCCCAAACTGAAGCTAATATTAGCAAAACTTGGTTTGTATCCTCTGAAAAAATAAATTCCTGTGCCCAATCAGAGTCTCAAAGAATGAGTACCTCAGCCCATTTTGGAGTGGGTAGAGTGAAGCCCTTGGCCCAACATGAAACTCCTAGAGTCATGTCATGGCTTCAGGTTGAAACTGGTATAGTCCGCCCTCGGAACCAGCCTGAGGGAGACACAGTGAGGTTCTGGCCCCTTTCTGTAACTGAGGATGTAAGAAAATGGATCCAAACTGGAACCAGTATAGTCAACTCTTGGGCTCAACCGAGAAGTAGTATAGTCGGAGCTTGGACCCAAGTTGAATCTGAACTAGTCAGACCTTGGACACAATCTAAAACTAATGCAATTACACTATTGACCCAGGCTGATACTTTCAAACCTTGGTTCCAAACTCAAATTAATGCAATAAGAGAAGGGCCCCAAACTCAATCTCAAATAGTTACTACTTGGATCCAAACACAGTTGAAGATAGTTCACCCCTGGATTCAACCTAAAAGTGATTCAATCAGAATTTGGACCCAGCCTTGGATCCAAGCTGAAACCCACACAGTCAGACTCTATTATGAAGTTGATATAAAAAAATCATTAACCTCATCTGAATCTCAGGCAGTCACATATTGGTCACTGAGTCAAAATTCAGTTATGACTTCATTTAACTTGGAATCTCAGATAACATGTTCCTGGGTCCGAAATGAATTTAACACAATCAGTCCTTGGAATCAATATGAAACTAGTTCTGTTGGATCCTGGATCAAGTCTGAAACTGGTACATGTCAACCCTGGCTCCATACTGAATCTTCTACAATCTTACCATGGACCCAATATGAAACTTTAGAGATCTACCCTTCAAACCAACCTGAAACTGATACATCAATAACGCACTTGTTCCAGCCCGAAATCGATCCAATTAATACTTGGAATCAGCCTGAAGTAGATGCAATCAGATTCTGGACCCAAGTTGTAACAGAAATAATTCCAGTTTGGACCCAGATTGGAAATCAGGTGGTTGAACCTCCCAACTTTTCTGAAGCTGGAATAGACATAACTTGGTTACAAACTAAAACTGCTGTAAGTAGACCCTGGATTCAACCTGACTTTCAGTCAGTCCATCCTTGGACCCAGCCTGGATTTGATATAATTAACCTCTGGTCTCACCCAAAAGCTGCTGTAAACCAACCCTGGACATATGTTCAAACACAGGCAATCAGACCTAGGATCAAGGTGGAAGCCAACACAATCAAATCGTTGTTTCATGTCCAAGTGAAAAAAGTCAGACTGGGGATTCCTTCTGAGTCTCAAATATTGAGTTTCTGGATGCAGCCTGACATTAGTAGAGTTAGTGCTTGGATCCAACCAGCAACCCAGGCAGTCAATCCTGCCTTTCACCCTAAAACTGGTAATGTTGTATCCCTGGCTATTCATAAACCTGAAACAGTCAGAATATGGATCCAGCCTGAAACAGAAGTAAGGCCTGGCCTTATTTATAAAGCTGATATAATCACATCATTTGCTTATCCTGAAGTTGAACAAGATGCAACAATTAGTCACTTTGATTCCTGGTCTAACTATGTAACATTATTACCAATAGAAACCGTTCCTTCCCTACATGAGTATTTTGCAGCCTTGTCAACTGAAATAGCTGCAGTAGAAAGTCAAGGTCAAATAAATTCTGTCCAACCCAGTGAAATCTCAAATATTCTCTATCTTACACTTTCAAGCACACGACTTCCTGGAGGAGGTGGTTACCTGAACTTTGGCAATGAATTACAAATTACCAAAACAAAAGGAAGCCCTGATGTCCCATCTAGTTCTCTCAACCCACTTTATCCATCTTTTTCCTTTACTTTTCCTTGTTTTTTCCCACCTTCAGGTTCTTTGTCCCTTACCTGTTCAGTCTTTTCTTCTTGCACATTTTCTTCACCCTGTACTTTTCTTTCTTGCTCAATTTGTCCTCTTATGGCCTTCTCTCCTGTTCTTCCCTTAGCTGCTTCTGACAGTTCTTTCCAGAAACCATCTTCCTCAAAATTTACTGTAGACACCATTCTTTCCCATACTTTTTCATCCTTGCATGCTGCTCCAGCCAATCTTTTAACAAAGCAACCATCTCTGATGTCTGGATCTCAATCTGGAACCAAGTCTAATCAGCCTGAACAAGATCTTCTTAAGTATTCTGAACTCAATATTTCCCTTGCTGAGTGTCGTCTGGGTGTGGTCTGGAAAGAGAGTCTCCAGGCTTTCTCACTCTTCAAGACAGCTGTTATTTCTCATGAAGTTACAGGCAAGTTCAGTTTATTTGAGTTACTCTATTTGGGACTATGTTTTTGCTGGAACATAAAACCAGTTTTTGGATAGACCAGAGATCATGTCAAATTTTGGTAGGACCAAATTAAAATTATAACCTGCATCAAGAAAGGTAATAAATAATATCATCTTAAGATATATCCACATAATTAAGAAAATATCTTATTTTGCCAGTAATAATTGAAGATTTAAATTTTATACAAAGAAGAGTAGCATAAGAGCTTTAGTGCTTAGAAATAGTTTACTATTTCACTTTGGAAATGAATAGAGGTTATTTAGGGTTTTTCATGGAGTGTGTAGACAAACTGTTAAAATACCTAACTTTATAGGGTTAAAATGTACATATATTTCCAAGCATTCCTGAAAAATGGAAGAGTTACAGGCATTTTCCTAAAATCTAAACTTAGAAAGTCAACATGTCCAGGGAAAGAAGGGTGGTACATTAACTTCACCCTGTCCCACCTATGGATTCCTTCTACAGAGTGTGGATTACGCCCTGGCCTTGTTCCACACTGTCCCAACTGCTGGGAGGCTGAAGTGGGTGAATTCCCTTGGATGGTTTCTGTGCAACTCTCTTTCTCCCACTTCTGTGCTGGTTCTATCCTGAATGAACAGTGGATTCTCACTACAGCTAGATGTGCAAATTTCATGTGAGTATGAATGAGTCATTTCAAAAAGTTAAAGTATAATTACAAAATATGAAGATTTTAAGTTCATTAATGGTATATTCCTTCAAAGAAGCTATTCTTCCTTAGACAGTGGATCTGTTATATATTACATGGGATATTTTGACTCCTAACTTTGCATGGTTTCCCTAATAGCTCAGTTGGTAAAGAATCTGCCTGCAAGGCAGGAGATCCTGGTTCAATTCCTAGGTCAGGAAGATCTGCTGGAGAAGGGATAGGCTATCCATACCAACATTCTTGGGCTTCCCTCGTGGCTCAGCTGGTACTTTCCAAGTCTGTACCAATCAATGTTAAACACTATAAATAGTAGATGCAAAATATTGGAAGTAATCAAACATATTGTGCCTAATAAGATAATATATGTTGGCAGCAATTAGAGAAGAGGATAAAACTAGCAATTTAGTGTTCACCTAGATTTCATTTGATTCATATGATCTCTAAACACTTTTTTTCACATTGAAATATGTCATATTAAAATGGCTGTTAAATTTTCCTCCCAGAAAAAACTCAGAAGCAGTGGCCCATGTTCAGGTGGGGCTTATTGATTTTCAAGATCCTGCTCAAGCTCAAACTGTAGGCATTCATCGTGCCATGCCCTACCTGGGTCCTAGAGGACCGCTGGGACCTGGTCTAGTTTTCTTGAAGCAACCATTACATTTTCAACCTCTGGTTCTTCCTATCTGCCTGGAGGAGAACATAGAGCAAGAGAAAAATATACAATTATATGACTGCTGGCTACCCAGCTGGTCCCTCATGAGAGGTGAGTAATGCAGAAAACTAAGATGGGAGGACAATGACATATTTGGAAAGAGCAATATTTTATAATATGTAATAGATTTTTTTGTTCTCTTCTTCTGTAGCCACATTTCTCCTTCTAATCTAGGCTAATGTTTAAACTCTCTATGCTCTGTTTTCTACTAGGAAGTCCTGGAATTTTGCAAAAAAGGCACCTGAGCATCCTGCAAGTCATCACATGTGCCCAGTTTTGGCCCAAACTGAATGAATTTACTTTCTGTGTGGAAGCCAAGAAAGCTATGGGGGAGGCTGGCTGTAAGGTAATGAGTTGAGGGCAAAAAAGGCAGGGAGAAAGAGAGGAATAACTTTCAATATAAGAAGTTATTTCCTAACTTCCTTTAAAATATTCTTTTTCCTTGTTTCTTTCAGGGTGATCTGGGGGCACCTCTTGTGTGTCATCTTCAACAAAAAGACACTTGGGTGCAGGTGGGAATCTTGACTCACTTTGATGAACACTGCACAAAGCCCTACGTCTTCAGCCAAGTGAGCCCTTTCCTTTACTGGCTCCAGGGAGTTACACGACCCAGCCATGCACCCTGGTCTAAGCAAGGGCCTATGGCCACCTCTGCTTCCATCTCCCTTTCAGTCTCTACCTCTATGAATGCCTCAGCTTTTACCTCCACACCTGCTTCTGTCTGGCCACATTTCATCTCTCTGCCACAGCCTCAGAGTAAGGCCCAAGAAAATTGTAGTGAGTGATGTGTTAGAAGGAAAGGAACAGAAGAGGATAATGAAAGTAGAAAAGGGGATGTAGAAAATGTTGTGTTCTTTTTTTCGTGGTAATGCATGAATTTTTATGCTAATAAAAACATAGGAATTATTTGTCTATGGCTTACAAATACATTTCAGCCTTAACACATTATTTAACTTTCTTGTTTACCCATGTGCTATGCATGACATGATCATTATATTAATCTTAATATATTATTCTGAAACCTAGAGAAGTATACTGGATTCATCATTTGTTAAAGATCAAACTGGGAATAGGGATAGCACAGAAACTCAACTTTCTTGTTTGACTAATACAAAGTTCTTTACTATTACTTATTGCTTTATAAAAGTAATTTTAGAAGTTTAAGTTAAATATGTTGGTTTTGTTGACAATATGTAATTATTTCTGGAGGGTACTATGTATCCAGCTTCCCTGGTGGCTCAGATGGTAAAGTGTCTGCCTGCAATGTGGGAGACCAAGGTTCGATTCCTGGGTCAGGAAGATCCCCTGGAGAAGGAAATGGCAACCCACTCCTGCCCCCTTGCCTAGAAAATCCCACAGACATAGAAGTCTGGTAGGCTACTGTCCATGGGGTCACAAAGAGTCAGAAACGACTGAACAATTTGCTTTTTTATTTTGTTTTGTTTTACTACGTACCCAACAATGATATATTTTGATGATTATCATTTCTACTTTCCTTGACTCTTATGAAACAAGTTACACTCATCAAAGTAAGTTTGATCTATTTTGATTCAATAATATTTCTACATTTTACATTTTTACCTAAAGTCATTTGCCCTGGCTCACATTGCCGTATCCACAATGAAGTATGATTTTAAAACAGAGAGAGATAATCTCATTTTATGGTCAAATTCTTCAAAGTTTATTCACACAGCTATCTCAGAGTATGCATCAGTGAAGGATCAAATTTTTATCTTCAAATTTTTATTAAATTTTATCTTCAATTTTACTACTTTTTAAAATAGTTTATCTATACCATTTCACACATACTCACACACACACATGCATACTTAGCTTCAACTCCCACTGTTTGAGTTCCTATTTCTTTTTAAATATGAGCATTTTGCTGAAATTTCCTATTTCCTGTGTCTATTTGTCATGTCACTACATTTTAAATTTAGTCAGCTCACCCCTCAAGTTCACATAAACTACAGTTTTTATTTCTGTAACATTTTCAAATCAAATTATTGTCTTTTATTGTTTTCTAGTTTGTTTTCTTATATTGCTGTAAGTCAGTGGGAGAGCTGGAGGAACCTGAACCTAGACCATTAAAAGTTACACATTTGAAAAGGCAATAATAAGGGGAGAATTATTTCCAGGGAGGTAACATGTACACAAAAATGCTAAGTTTGCATTTGCAAGTCAATTTTAATAATAGGCATGCTTAGCAGAGATGTGAGAGATGAATAATTTTTAGATGGGATATAGATGAGAACTCTGCTGAATTCATTTTTAATGTTTTTCCTCAGCTTTGGCAGATCAAATTTCTCTGAGATATGCCATGCCTTGGCAGGCCATGATCATCAGTTGCAGTAGTCAAATTTGCAGTGGTTCCATTGTTAGCAGCTCTTGGGTACTCACTGCGGCCCACTGTGTCAGGAATATGTAAGTTAGCCTCGTGAATCTTCCAGTATACTATAGCCTAGTATCTCTAAATTACTTTGTTGAAGCATTCTTTGAGCAAAGTAACTAAATGTTATGTCTGAATCATCTCTCTTATCCTTCATAGCATCTTTGCTACAGGTTATGAAAGCATGCCTCTGTGTTTGTCTGATTGTTATCTCCGCCAGTTAATGTTTCTGTAATCATATTGTCTGTGAACCCAGCTTTGTTTCCCTTGATGTGAAGTATGAACTTGGTGTATCAGGGCTAAGGAATACATAAGAAAATCTAATGTAACTGATTTAAATGATTCAAATTTCCAAGGGAGTCTATTCTAATTATTATTCTATACTAATTATTCTTTAACTACTCACACAGGAATCCAGAGGACACAGCTGTAATATTAGGCCTGAGGCACCCTGGGGCGCCTCTAAGAATTGTTAAGGTCTCTACCATTCTTCTGCATGAGAGATTCCGATTAGTGAGTGGGGCAGCAAGAAATGATCTAGCATTGCTGCTCCTTCAAGAGGTCCAGACTCCCATTCAGCTTTTAGCACCGTTGGGTCATCTGAAGAATCTGAACAGCTCAGAATGTTGGCTCTCTGGGCCACGAATTCTTAAGCCAGGTTAGTAGTTATTTTATTTGTTAGGGCACTGATTTTAAATAAGACAGTGGTGGTGGTGATTTAGTCATTAAGTTGCATCTAAATCTTTGCGACCCCATGGACTGTAGCCTACCAGGCTCTTCTGTCCATGGAATTATCCAGGGAAGAATTTTGGACCACTGTACAACATTATAATTTCTACTTTGTGTATACAACCACTGCTCAACACCATAAATTTAGTTTTCATCCAACACCAAATATTTAAACCTCCATTTACCCCTTTCCTTCTTCTCTGGTAGCGACACTGTGTTCTCTGTATCTACATGGTTGTGTCTCTTTGCTTTTATTTTTTCATCAAAAATCATCAGAGACATGTAAAGCAAAACCAAAGTTAAATAATCTATGTTATAATGACTATCATCAAGAAAATAGCATATAAATGCTGAAGATGTTGTGAAGAAAAGAGAACCCTCTACACTGTGCTGGTATTGTAAATTGCCACAGTCACTGTGAAGGTCAGTATGAAGGTTCCTCAGAAAACTAAAAATGGAGCTATTATATGAGCCAGCAATCCTACTCCTGGTTCATAATTTTGATGGTAAAAATTTAAGGAAGAAGTATTTCTTTTTAGAGTTAATTAATAACTTTATTAAGATATAACACACATATAAAAAACTGTGCATATTTAATCTGCATAATTTCAAGAATTTGGAACTATCCATACAACTATGAGGCAGCTTTCCAGGTGTATACTGGTATGGAATCCAGCTACAATGCATAGTTTGACCCCTGGGTCAGAAAGATCTCCTGGATGAGGAAATGCAACCCAGTCCAGTATTCTTGCCTGAAGAAATCCAGGGACAGATAAACCAGGCAGTCTACCGTCTATGAGATCATAAAGAGTCATACACGACTGAGTGACTAAACAACAGCAATACAAATGTGAAACCACTTAGTTAAGCTAATAGACTTACCCATCATTTCCAAAAGGTGACTTGTGTTCCCCATTGTGTGTGTATGTGATAAAAACACTTGATGTGAGAACTACTTTCTTAATAAAAAATTTAGGTGCATAATACAATATTCTTAAATTTAGGGGCACTTTTGTACTGAAAGAGATTTTGCAGTTTTCTAGCACTTAATCACCTTGCTTAGAAGACTTTATGACTTTCAAACAGCACCCCATTTCTCTGTGCACCCAGGCCATGAAAACCATCATTTTACTTTCCATGTCTACGAATTTGAATACATGAGATATCTTGTTGTTGTTCAGTCACTTATATGATATATCTGATATAAGTGGAGTCACCAAGTATCAATCTTCCTGTAACTGGGTTACTACAGTTAGCATAATGTCCTCCAGGCTCATCCATTATAATTAAGAAAATTTTCTTTTTTTTTAAAGACTGAATACTTGCCATTGCATAGACATACCTCAGCTTTTTACTTATTTATATATAGAGATTTGAGTTGTTTCATTATCTTGGTTATTGTGAGTAATGCTGCAGTAAACATGGGAGCACAGAAACCACTCCTCAAGGAAGAACTGTAATCACTACTGTCTCCATTACTCCTCCTTTTAAGATTTTTAGCATTTTATATGAAATTAGTTTTTATTTAATAAAATGATAGCTTTATTGTGAATCCATACAATTTTAAAGATGAAAGATAATACAAGGGAGATCTTTCTATGTATAGCCAATTTTTATAAATAAATAGAGAAAATATACAATCAAACAGTTTTGTATCTTTAGAACATAAGAAGATGTTTTTGTGACCTTTAATTTGTTCTTTTTAAGAAAATCAATCTGGAGAAAATATACAATCAAACAGTTTTGTATCTTTAGAACATAAGAAGATGTTTTTGTGACCTTTAATTTGTTCTTTTTAAGAAAATCAATCTGGACTTAAGTTGAAGTTTCTGAACTTACAAGTAAAATGATACTTGTTAATTAACAGTAGTGGCATTTGAAAAATGAGTGAAAAGATTGGAACATATACATTTGTAGAATAAATTGCTAATGATGACAGTGATAAAACATCTTAGCATAAAATCTTAGAAATAAAGTGATGCTAGAGATTGTGGTCTTCCCTCCAAAGATGGTGTTTCAAGATAAACAATTCCATTGAGTTTTTTTTTTTTTCCAACTGATCTAGGAGAGACAGATGAAAATCCAGAAATATTACAGATGCAGGTGATAGGAGCTTCAAGTTGTGCCCACCTTTACCCTGATATAGGCAGTTCTATTGTGTGCTTCATTACACAAGACAAAGACTCTGACACAAGTGTGGTGAGCTGGGTTTTTTCCTTTAAAATTCTACAGTAGCTACACCTTTCCCATATATAATCAAGTAAACCAAATCATCCATAAATGATAAAAATAAGAAACTAAGAAAATTGCTCAAAGACTATGTGACTAACCTCTGACTTATCTTACATTTGTCATTCTTCTGTACCCAAACTTAACAACTGATTTGGTGTTCTCCAAGCAAATTTACATCTCATTTATTTTATGCACTTTTAATTATAAAATCATTGTTTCTAAGAGTCCATCATATAATAAACCTTTTTTTTTAAATTTTTCATTTACAATTGAAATCTTTATGGTCCATTATTCAATGATTTTTACTTGTAGTTTCACTTGTAATATTAATGTGTTTGGTGGTAAAGTTGATTTTCCTATGTACCTATTTAAAGTCTTGCTATTTCTCTGAATACCAGTTTAAAAATGTAGAATGAGGAATCTGAGATGGTGATTTGAATCTAAATTCTACCTTTAACTTCACAGGAACCAGTGAGTCCAGGCAGTGCTGTCATGTGCAGACCAATGTCTAAGAATGGAAGCTGGAGACAGATAGGCCTCACTAGTTTGAAGGCACTGGCTACCATTGTAAGTCCCCACTTCTCATGGATATTATCCACTTCAGCAAAGGCAGGGCATCCATTAAACCATGCACTCATGCCTTGGATGGAAAAGCCTAAGTCCTCTAGTCTCATAAAACAGGCAACCACCCTGCCATTTTCTTCAATAATAATTGTTATACTGCAAAGAATTTTATAACTCACTGCAAATATAAGGCAGGGCTAATCTATTCAAACTATAAGTAATAAAAATGTTAAACAACATTAAAGAAAATTAACACCCTGTACAACCTAGGAATATATGTCAAGAATAAACTAAGTTTTAAGATAATCCCTTGCCTTCACATTATTTTGAAAAAAATAATTTTATTTTGCTAAATATTGAAACTGTAAGAGGACTCAAACACATACCATCAACAAAAAGGTAAGCACAAAATTTGGAAAATAAAAACTATGAAACAAGAAAAAAATAGCATGCTCTCTAAACCACTAAGTGCAGTTCAATTGAAAAACGTAAAATAATTCTTGATACCTACATTAAGAAAGCAAATGCTTATAAAATAAGGAATTTCATTTAAAAACCACACATTATTCCTCAAGGATGCCTGCATTCCTGACACTGTTGTAGCCTATGGCACAAGTTTAGCAATGGACTCTGCAGCAGCTGAGCCACAGTGAGGTCAATGTGTGACCCCACACCCTCTCCATGGCTTATAGGTTGGATCTGGGCATCTTTATCCCTGATGTTACCAGTAACCCTGTCTGCTGTGTGGACTCCTGAGAACAGGTGGTTGCCTGATGCTGCTGCTAAGTCGCTTCAGTCGTGTTTGACTCTGTGTGACCACGTAGACGGCAGTCCACCAGGCTCCTCTGTCCCTGGGATCCTCCAGGCAAGAATACTGGAGTGGCTTAGCATTTCCTTCTCCAATGCATGCATGCACGCTAAGTTGCTTCAGTCATGTCATACTCTGTGTGACCTATAGACGGCAGCACACCAGGCTCCTCCATCCACAGGACTCTCTAGGCAAGAATACCAGAGTGGGGTTGACACTTCCTTCTCCAGGTTGACTGCTGCCCCAGAGGCAATTTAAAGCTTGAGGAGGGTTACAGCATCAGGTTCTTTGCCTTCACCTTGCAAATGGCTTGACTTCCCCAGTTGCGGGTCAGGCACTTTTGAACTGTTGGTCATGCAAATAGCTTCCATGTCACATGCTTTGTGTTGAGCTAATACTGGAAGCTTAGGGGTGTGTCCCATTGTGAAATGGTTTTGGAACCCATTTGATTGGTTCAGTGACGGGGTCTAGAGGTCAGGTTGTAGAAGTCAGTCCCTTCCCACCAATCTGTTAGGTATGGGTGATGTTACAAGGCTCTGCGCCTGCATGTCTTACCTTCTCTGCTATAGACAAGTAACCAGTAGTTGGTGCAGAGTAACTGCAGCCTGTGAGCCACCTGCTGTGCTTCTGTGTCCAACCCCTTTATAGCTGGGGCTCATGGCCAGGGCAATGTGGAGAGTGAGATGAGGCCAGAGGAAGGCAGGAGCAACCTGGGACCCTGGATCTTCTTAGTTGTGAGCCCAGGTTTTCAGGGGGCAGGGGCCCTGGGGCTTGCCAGCACAGTAGGGGCAGTGGGAACAATGCAGGCCCCAAGAGGCATGCCAGGTGAGAAGGAGTCCTCTTCAGGAAGGAGGCAGGGGAGGAAGGTGGGTCCTGGAGGATAGAGAAGTTGCATGGGTATTGGGTAGGAGTTCCAGCTGCTGGTGGAAGACATCATGGAGGAAGTAGAGGTGGTGGTGGTCGAGGAGCAGGAGCAGATGTCCTAAGAGGAGCAAGAAGAAAAGCTGGATAAGCAGGGCCAGGAACATCCAAGGACCGGATTCCTGAGTGGCCCTTCCTGGAGGTGCTGTTAGCACTGGAGGTGTATATGAATCCTGTGAATAAGAAAGTCCAATGGGCCTACCCTCCACTGAATCACAAGATCTGTCAGAGGTGGGCCCTCCATCTAGAACACAGAAGTGGCATCATCTGGGAGGCCATGTTTTCTGGGTTAAAATTGTATCCCTCCTGCGGTGCTTGTGAAATTTGTTTTTTCTGAGCTAATACAAAAGCATTTTAACAGATCTGGAAGTTTTGGTACAGAGCTGATTTGTTGGATTATGGGTATTGGCTAAAGTCTTGCAAATATGTCCCTGATACTATGGGTGATGTCCTTGCTATTCTCATTAGTACAAATTGATACTTTGGCTTTACTTGCAGGGGTCTGAATCAGAATTTTCATTAGCACCAGGAATTCTTCAGAGAAAATGGTTGTCAGCTACACAAGTCTACAAAACACTGAATGAATTTGGGGATGAGGTTGGGATTTCTAAGTGCTCATGCTAGTTATAGCTAGGAGGGTTTGTTTTCCAGAAATAAGCTATTTTTAGGAAGATGAGATAGATCTTAGGGCCTACCTGTTAGGAACAGAATGCCCTTGTGTTAGCGCATTAATATGCACAGGCTTGGGGCTTATTGGGCCTCATACAGTCTGCATTGATGCAATGTGACTAGTTACTAATAACAAGTTGAAGTAAGACAATACCAGGCTGCTATTTATGACAGCTTTGCTGTTCCAGCCCTTTCACCTCAAGCATCTAGAGCCTCATTGGCTTAAAGCAGTATGTGAACCACCACCAAATGTCAGCCATGATGAGTGACCTAGATGCAGACATGCTTAGCTATATGACCAATTTGAAGGTAAATCTGCAGACACTGATATTGTGAAGGGAGGTGACTGGGGAGGGGAGGGGAAAATGATTTACACTTGAAAACAGGAAAGGACAGCTTTTCTGTAAAGCGGTGTAATTTCTATCTGTTCCACTTTGTGCTGGCAGGTGGAAGAATTCAGGTAACCCACTGATTGCTGGAAGATCACTTTCTTTTGGAATAACAGATATTTCCAGAAGGAAGTGATTGTTAGGAAGTATCTCATTTGGGGACCAGGGGCAGAAAGGGGCAAATTTAACTTGGAATGTGTTTAGGCTCTTCTCCAAAACTCCTTTTACTGCAGATTACTGAGCATCTTTTTCCACTTCAGTTCAATTGTACCAGATATTTGAACATGAGGCATACAGCCACAGGCACCACAAGAGCAGCATTAACATCTTCCACTGCTTCTCTGACAGCAACTTGCAGGATCTAGCAGGATTGCTGAGGTGGGGACCCACTGGGGCTCTGAAACATTGATGATTGATGTTTGAGTTCTTGGTGGCACAAGGAAAAGTTTGGGGTCTGGCCAGAACGATATTGATCTTGCTCCTTTTCCTGAGAGATCATCATTAAGGAGCAATCCTTTATAGTACTATGTGAGAAGAAAGGCTCAAGAGGTAACTGGGAGGAGGACAGGTGAGGAGACCAGGACCTGGGCACTGACATGAGTGGTTCCAGAAACCTTGTCATTTATTTCACTTGCAAAGAAATTAAGACTCCATGAAATACAGAGTGACATGAGAGGATTGCCATGGAAAACTGTACTGAAAAAGAGGTTTGAACTAGGAAATCTTGAGGTAGATGAAGCAGCCTGTTTCCAATGTCACTCAGATTTAAAGCTGTCTCAGTTGCACATCTCTGAGTTGTTATTCCAAGCCAAAAACCCCACCTTCAGTCTCTTCTTAAATTCCTCTCCCTTCTCCCACTCTCTCCTCCCCCTCCCCCTTCTCTCCCTCCCGTTAGTTCTCCCATTTCTGTCCTTTCTCCCACTTCCCTCCCTTCTCCCCCTCCCCCTTCTCTCCCTCATTTCTCGTCCTCCCCCCTCTCTCCTTCCCCCTTCTCTCCCTCTCTTCCCTCTTCCCACCCTCTTCCCCACATGGAGAGCTCTTCCTGGGACAGAAACTCTGTGTGTTCAGGGGGATATCTGTCTTATTGGAGATGTTTCCCTCCCTCTCCCCCTCCCCCTCCGCTTTCTCCCCTCCCCATATTCCCCTCCTCTCCTCTTCTCTCTCTCTCTCTCCCATCTCACCCCTTCTCCCCTTCCCCCCCTCCACCCTCCCCTCATCTCTCCCTCCCCTCCTTGGGAGCTCTTCCTAGGGCAGAACTCTGTGTGTTTGTGGTGTCTGTCTTACCCAGGGTGCTTCTGCAGAGTGGTCTGACAGCCATTCACATTTCAGGGGAAAAGTTTCTGTTTTGAGTATATGGGGACTTATGGTCATTGGCCATTATACTTGCTTTCTTGTTAGAGTAGGTGTCACTGGGCAGATGTTGACTTCCTTGGGCTGTTTTCCATCATTTTAATTATTTAAAATGAGGAAGGTTAAAAAAAAAAAAACAGGGGGAGGAGCCAAGATGGTGGAAGAATAGGACAGGGAGACCACTTTCTCCCCTACAAATTCATCAAAAGAGCAATTTAATGCAGAGCAAACTTCACAAAACAAATTCTGATCATTAACTGAGGACATCAGGTGCCCAAAAAAGCAGCCCATTGTCTTCAAAAGGAGGTAGGACAAAATATAAAAGATAAAAAGAGAGAGAAAAGAGCTAGGAACGGAGATACATCCTGGGGAGGGAGTCTTAATAGAGGAAGTTTCCAAACACCAGGAAAACCTCACACTGGCAGGTCTGGGGGAAGTTTTTGAATCTTGGAGGGCAACCTAACTGGGAGGGGAAAATAAATAAAGCCCACAGATTATGAGCCCAAAATCAACTCCCAGCAGAAAAGTACCCCAGACCCCCGCATCCACCACCAGCAAGTGGGGGCGGAACGGAGAGGAGCGGGCGGCATTGTTTAGGGTAAGGACCAGGCCTGAGTGCCCTGAGGGCAATCGGAGGGAGCTTTTGTGAGTTACCAACTTAAACTGTGGGACAGCAAAAGAGAGAGAGAAAATTAACCAAACACACTGCCAGCCATTCACAGAACAAAGGGACTGAGCAAGTCCAGAGGAGCTAGATGGCTGCGGATTGGCCCAGCCACGCCAGAGGCAGGAGGCGGGGGGGGGGGGGGGCGGGGAAGGGGCAGGCTCGGCCCCAAGCATCCCCTACCACACTGCAAGCAGGCCTCCAGTTTCTAACCAAAGACTTCCTGAGATTCTGGATGGTTGACATTGGCCGGGAGGGTCGCAGCTAGACACAGGGTGCACACATCTGACCAGCACAGGCGGGGACTGGGGCTGGGGATGCGGAGAGGAGAAGGCGTGCCACACCCAGGGAGAGAGCACCCATCAAGCTCCTG